GCTTATACCATGCAGACATTGGAGCTTCCTCGTAAGGTTTGTGATGAGATTGATAAACTCAATCGTAATTTTCTCTGGGGTGATTCCTTGGAGAGGAAAAAAGTGCACTTAGTCAACTGGCAACAGGTGTGTCATAAGAAAAAGAATGGTAGCCTTGGGATTAGAAGGGCTAGGGATCAAAATCTAGCCTTACTATCCAAGCTTGGCTGGAAACTGTTGAATGAGGAAGAGGGTCTCTGGTTAGAGGTCCTGAGAAATAAATACCTGGGAAATCAACACTTTCTCAGTAAGAAGAAGAGTAAAGTTTCCTCCCATATCTGGAAAGGGATCCTGAATACTAGAAATCTCCTTGTCAAAGGGGTTCATTGGACCATAGGTTGGGGCTCTAAGGTGAGAGTTTGGAAAGACTGGTGGTGTGGTGAAAGGGCCTTGTTTGAGGCTCCTACTACTAACACAAAGCAAGCCATTGAGATGGAGGATACCACTGTGGACTCCCTTGTTGATATTAATGGGGAGTGGAATTTAACTCACATCTATAACACTTTTCCTATGCCCATTATATCTGAGATTCTAAAAATTCAGCCCCCTAGAAATAATGGTGGCAGGGACAAACCGAGATGGAGAAAATCTGCTGATGGGGATTTTTCTACATCTAGTGCATATGACCTTATTATGCAGTCTCAATCCTTGGAGAATAATTGGGTTTGGCTTTGGAAACTCAAGATTCCTCCAAAGATTAAGAGCTTCTTGTGGCTTATTTTGATTGGGAAACTAATGACAAATAGAATCAGACACACGAGGGGTTACAGTGACAATCCCAATTGCCCCAGCTGTGAAACTGTGGAGGATCTAGACCACTTACTGCGGCTCTGTCCTAATGCCATGAATATTTGGAAACAGGTTTTGGATCAAGCTTGGTATTTGAAAATGTGTGCTCTCCCTTTTGATGTTTGGTTAACTCTGAATATTAAAGGGAAGCATTCCCAACCTCAGCTTTTTGTTATCTCTCTATGGATTATTTGGGAAAATAGAAATAAATTTATTTTTGAGAACAAACAACCAAACTACCATGTTTCGGTTAAGCTAATTTTTTATTACACTAAAGAAGTTAAAAAAGCCTTTGAATCTGCTGTTACTACCCCTTTGCAAACTAAAAGCTCATCTTTGTGGTTGCGTCCACCTGCAGGGAGAATCAAACTCGATACAGACGGAAGTCTTAAAGGTACTAATAACAATGGAGGATTCGGTGGGTTGTTTCGGGATGAGAAAGGAAGTTGGATTAGTGGATATTATGGTAGAATGGAAAAATGCACCAGCTTGGAGGCGGAGCTCTGGGCAGTGTATAAAGGGCTCACGATCATTCTGCAGCGAGGAATGAACAAGGTAATCATCGAAACGGATGCAGAACAAGTGATGCAGCTGCTAAATGAAGAACCAGGTACTAAATGCCCTTTCCGTGGCATTGTGGAGGACTCAAGGATCATCTTAAGGGGATGTGAGTGTACAGTCCAACATGTCCGCAGAGGAGACAACATTTGTGCAGATAATTTAGCCAAACTTGGAGCTAATCAACCTCTTGAGCTGCTCATTGTGAATGAACCTCCAGACGAAATTCGCTATGCATTAGTTGCGGATTTGTTGTATCTGGATGGAAGTAATGAGGCCTAGTCCTCTTGTTTTTCTTTTAATTTCCGATGTACCCAAAAAAAAAATGAACAAATAAACTACTCTAATTCTTAATAGTTAGAAAGTCAACAAAACTAACTAAATTCAAGCCCAATAACCACTTCACTACTGCTTACATACAACTCTATAATAGAAGAGAAACAAACACCACTATAAAAGACATCAAATTTATTTACGAAAGAATTAAATTTACATATCACACCACCAAAAATCTTACACAATAAATAGGTCAAATGCGGAAGTTACACCCCTAAGAATTCGAACTCCACTTATTTGGGGAAAAGATACTAGTAAAGTGGAGATTTTATCCTACATTTTTTCAAGTTGAATTGTAATAGTATTTTATTTATTTTTGGTCAGTATATTGAATTGTTTTTCATTAAAGTCATTTTTGACATATTTTTTTGTTTTTTTGTGTGTGTCAAACGTCTCCATGTATGCAGTGACATCCTTCTTCGTGATTGGCCAATTTACTCGGAATTGGGATCCTCCCCTTGCACTCCCTCCTTGCAGGGCTTTCAAGCCCACTTTAGGCCCAATTTTGATAATCCGAACCGTTCATATTTTAAGATTTATTCAGTATATCATACCTGTAAAAAATCAAGTTGATCAGATATCAGAAAGCATGTGTTTGGAAAACTGTTTATTAAATTCTTTAAAAAAATAGTTTTTAGTTCAATTTTTCCGAACACATATTTTCTGATATCCGATCAACTTGATTTTTTACAGGTATGATATACTGAATAAATCTTAAAATATGAACGGTTCGCATTATCAAAATTGGGCCTAAAAGTAGGCCCAAAAACTCTGCAAGGAGGGAGTGCAAGGGGAGGATCTGTACTCAATTTACCCGTATCGGCTTACTGCCACATTGTTTAATGGGAAATGTTAAGTCAACTAATGTTTAATGTTGATAAGTATTTAAAAAAATAAAAATAAAATATATAAAAATTATATATAAAATGAAATGAAATGTCACTTTTTTAAGAACGATTTGGAGTCTATTCAATCCGTGATCTGAATTAAAAGGTGTTGTTTGAACTTGGGAATTCACTATGGGTCTTGTTCAATGATTCAATTCAAATAGTTTATTTTGTCAAGTTCTTAAAGTATATAATTCACATACAAAATCAAATTGATCCGATATTTATAATCTATTCAATTTATTACGTTTGTTATTAAAAAATATATGGCTTATTTTTAAAAATACATTTATCGTCTATTTTTTTTAGACAAACGCAATAAGTTAAATATGCTATAATTATTGAATTGATCTAATTTTGTGTATAATAATATACACAAAAGATTTGACAAAATAAATAATTTAAATTATCAAAATAAAACTTGTGATAAACCACACGACGGAATAACACCCTCCAATTCACGTCAAAAATTGGAGGGTTTAAGGCCTTTTAAGAATTATGTGATTTTTTTTCATTTTTTTGGTCAAAACGATAGCTGATATATTATTGATAATCAAACACATTACATAGCACTACCCTTGATACTTAGAGGGCCAAACAACTATGAGGGAGAAACATCCTCCCAAGTACAACACTTACTCCCATTATACCTAAACTTAAACCTCATTTGGCAATATTATTTTTAATTTAAAAGTCCAAAAGTCATTAAAAAAACATAAAGCCAACAACTTATACTAAAAAATCAAATATTCTCTTTTCTCTCTACTATTTGCACATCTTTTTGTAAAAATCAAAAAGTCATCACAAATATACTAATTTTTTTTTACATTATATTTTAACTAAAAAATCAAAAAATTACTCAAAAAATATATTCCCAAACGAGACCCACCAAATAAGCAACATTGTTTCCCAACCCTATAGCTTACCTGATATCCTGGCACCAACATTCCAAGCTGAAACAAATCATGGATAATAATACCCACACTCTGCTCCACCTCCTTGAAAGAACAAATGTTGATGTTAACATGTATGAAAAAATAAAAAATAGATAAATAAATAAATTAAAGCATATAAAGTGTGTATAAAAGGGATAATTTTTTTCCAATCATGTGATTCTTAATTAACATTCATTGGAGATCATTAACAAGACTCTTGTTTAATATCCAGATTTGTGTAGGAAAAGGTTTAAAAATTTGTAAAAATGGTTGAGAATTATGAAATTAGTAAAGATTAGTAAGAAATTAATATCCAAATGACAATTTTTTTTAAATTAGTAAGAAATTAGTTGCAATATGAAAATAATTATATATGAATAAGCATAATCTACACAATTTTAAAAAGTTCAACAACCAACCCAACAAAGATATGACACTAGCTCAAAAACTAATCAACTTAAGAAAGAGCCCATAGTGATGAAAAAAAGAAAAGAATTATACAACAAAGAGTCAGGGCCGGCCCTGGCTTAAGGCCAATAAGGCTTGTGCCTTAGGCCCCATAATTTTGTCCCAAAAAAAGGGCTCCCAAATTTAATAAATTGTTATAGGCCCAACCTTTTTTTTTTTGATTTTTTTGTTTTGTTTTAGGATCAATTTAAAGGGCCCAAAATGTTTTATTGGGCCCATGCTTGGTGTAGTTCATATTTATGTGGTTTGGCCCATATTTATTAAAATGAAAATATATAAAAAACAAAAAAAAAAAACAAATAAAGTGTTTGGGCCCAACCCAAACCATACATACAATATACAACATTGTTCACTTAATATATGAAAGTAAATTTTAATTTATAATTTTAATAATTATATGTGCAAGTATACTTAAATAAAAAATTTGTGAATACTTATCATTTTAATCATAAATTTTTTATTAAAAAAAATATATTAGAGGAGCCTCATTTTCATAGTCTGCCTTAGGCCCCACAAATCTCAGGGCCAGCCCTACAAAGAGTCTTATAAAATGAAAATTATAAAATGAAAAATTATCAATATTATACTTAACGGAAATTAATCTCTTGACCTTCTAAATTAAAATGTATGAGGATAGCCAATTAAACTATAGTCTACGGGATTGTTTGATAACCTAATTCAGCACTTAAAATTGAATGCATTAAGTGATAATCAATTAAACCCGTTTAATAACGATAATTGATATCACTTAAAAATTTAAGTGTCCCTTAAAATATATTCTAAAATTTAAGAAAATTTTAATTAATTCTAACTGAATTTATAAATACTAAACATAAGTATCGATATGTATTATTATAAATTCACTACTATCATCACCACTACAACCACCACCATTGCTGCCACTGCTACCATCACCATCGCTGCCACTACCACCACTACCATCATGCCACCGCTACCATCACCATCATTGCTACTACCACCACTACCATCATGCCACTGCTACCATCACCATCGTTGCTGCTACTACTATCACCACCACCATACCATTGCCACTGCCACTGCCACCGCTACAACAACCACCGCCACCGCTACCACCGCCACCGCTACCACAACCACCACCACCATATATGCCACTACCATTGCCACCACCGCTACCACAACCACAACCACCACCATCATATATGCCACTACCACCGCTACCACAACTACCACCACTACCATAACTGCCACCATCATATATGCCACTGCCACCACTACCATTACCACCACCACTACCGCTACCGCTACCACCATAACCATCACTACCGCTACCGCTACCATCTTGCCACCGCCGCCACCACTGTCACCTTTATCACAATTGTCATTGTTACCATAAGCACTACCATCATTTTATTACCACTACCATCACTACCGCTACCACCATCACAACCACCACCACCATCAACACTACTGCTATCATCATTACCACCACCACCATTACCACCATCATCGCAATATAAAAAGTGAAATATATACAACTTGAAAATAATAAATTTTATATTTGATCTTATATATATCAAATAATTTATTTTCAATTCAACACTTAAATTTTTATCAAACAGTCTATTAACTTAAAATATTCAGCATTCAATTTTTAATATTGAATTTCAATATTTAGTTTTTAGTTTTCAATTTTATCGATTTTGTGGAATCATATTGAATATTTGACGATACATTCCGTACCTTGCTAAAAAACCGATCCTTGTTTACCAACCACACATTGTCTAACCAAATCCAATTCTCTCTCGATACGTTCCTCAAAAAATCCGATTCGTGCGGATTCTTCCCCCAACTAACGAAGAGATCTTGGCGGAATTGCCCCATATGAAATTGAGCACAATTTTGTAAAGAAATAGCCCACTTGTTTCTCGAGAAGAGATGGGAAACATGATCAATATCATTTGATTGAATAGTTGACCCAGCCCCTTGTTGTTTGAAGAAACCCTCCACTTCAATTGGTATTTTTTCACGAAAAGCAGACATGAGATAACAAATCCAGTGTTTCACTAAGATTTCGAATAGCGGTGAATCAGTTGTCTTAATGGCATTAGTTAATTGTAATTTTAAAACTATGATACCAATTTGTTTGATTTAGTTTTTGAAAATTATTTTTAAACTTTTTATTTTTTGTATATTTTTTTTGTCTTCAATGATTTTAAAAAAAAAACAACAACAACAACAACAACAACAACTTGTGATAGACCACATGGCCCTGGATAACACCCTTCAATTCACATCATAGATTGGAGGGGATTAGAGCTACTCCAACCACACTCTACTTTTCACTAGCTAAAATACAAAAAAAGTACATTCTTTATTTTACCTAATTACTTTAACTATTGTGTTCTCCAACCACGCTCTTTATTTTAGCTAATCATTTAAACTAACTTAATTAATTTTTAAAATAAAAAACACTAATTGTTGATATTTTACTAATATAAATTTGCAATAATAATAAATTTGCCCATACAAACATATAAAACCTGTAGAATGATGAGAAAAAAAAATACAAAATATAAAATAAGTTATTCCGTAATTCATCAAACAAAATTGAAAAAACATATAAAATTGCTACATACACACACACACACACAGACATATATATATATATATAATATATAAAATCCCAAATCCAAGACATAAATATACAAAAATCTAAAATATATACATACATAATTGTTTGGAGAGCCTCTGGGCCTCTTTAATTGTAGCCACCAAAAAAATAGGATGGTAAAGTAGCTTGCCCAATAGTTAGCCCATTAGAGCTCAAAATTATACTTACATTGGCTAAAATGCCTAACAAGCCTTGTTTAACTATCCCCTTGGGAATGCTCCTTTTAAGAATTATGTGATTTTTTATTTTATTTTTTGGTGGTCAAAACGATAACTGATATATTATTGATAGAGAAACACATTGCATAGCACTGCCCTCAACCCTTAGAGCATCTCCAACTAGGGGTGAGAATTGGCTCGTTGGCCTATTCAATTCAGTCTTATTTTTTTAGATCTTAGAAATGTTGTTTTAGCTCATAGAATTGGACTAGGCCAATATTTTTAGTCCGATATATTAATGGGCTAGATTTGAGATTTATATTTTAAACCCAACCTAGTCTTCCCCCGGTCCGATATTAAATTAATTAATTATACTAGATTAAAATATTTTTTTTATTGGGATATAGACTTTATCTTTGTTAATTTTATTGAAACTCACATTTGTGGTGATGTGTGATTGAATTTATTTAAGAAATATTTCAATTTATACATAAAATCTTTCAATTTATAATAATGTCAATATATTTATTTAAGAAATATAGCGTGTGATTGAATTTAATTATGGAATGCTTCAAAAAAAAAATTAACATATAGCCCAATGAGTGGGCTTGAGATTTATTTTGCCGGATTTGGGCAAATGTAGATGCTCGATGTTAGAGTCGGGTTAGGCTTAGGCAGACACAAAGTCCTATTATATAGTGTCAACCCGGCCCAGCCTGACACATTCCCATCCCTATCTCTAACCCATCCTTCAAATCTTTAAATTTGAAGGACTAGGCACTATAACTCATCCTCTAAAACTCTCTCTACGTATTTTTTTTCTTCATTCTTCTCTATACATTCATTCTTCTCTGTCTCTTTTCTCTTCCTAATTTTCGGTGATCGGCGACCGCGCCTTACTTCTTCTCTTTATTTTTCTAATATATAGTCATTGGCGACCAACAACCACTATTAATTAGGGTTCACCGGCAACTACTGACTACCAACTCCTTACTTCATCCTCACCGACGGTGAAGAAGACGAGTTTCCGGCGAAAAAGATGAGTAGATCTACTTAAATCTAATGTAGATCTACTCAAATCTACATCAGACCTAAGTATATCTACTTGAGATCCAACTAGATTTAAACCAAAAATAGTTGTCAAAGTATAATATCCTCTCTATATTTGTTTATCTTCTTCGATCTCTTAATTTTTCTACTTTTATCTACTATACACTTCTACTTTCCTATTTTAATAGAGAAAATTTTCAAGTCATGAACAAGTTGTTTTTGAGTTTTAGTTCCAAGTGATGAAAACTGTAAAATTTTACAATTTCAGCTTTTTTGATACTGAAACGAATTATGCTTTAAAATTGCAAAATTTTGCAGTTTCATAACATTCTCTAGAACTATAAAATTTTGCAGTTTCATAACATGTTTTTCAGTTTGATTAATAGAGATAAATGCTTAATAGAATCATACTTTGAAACTTTAACATTTTATAGTTTCAAAGCTTGCTTTTCAGTTTGATCAATATTGGAGATTATTTACTTAAACCTTACAAAAATTAAAAATAATATATATTTTTTCCCATTATCGTTGTTTGTTATAATATTTGTATATTTTATTTTGTTTATTTCCTTTCAGTTTATCAATATTTAGTACATTTTGCTATGTTTTTTCAGTATAATTTTTCTATTTATTTTTTTCCCGCAAATATTATGGACATTTCGGTGAGTCTCTAGTGATATTTTTTATGTCCATCAAACATTGTGGACATTCCAGCTACTTCCAGTGACGTGCAAAACAACTCTGGCGATACTCCAGCGACTTCCCGGTGATGTTGAATATTCCAGCAAGTCTTCGGTGATTGTCTGACAGAAGTCCGGTGATGGTGGGATGTAGTAGTGTTTTTAAATTTATAAAAAAAAATAAAAAAAAAAGATTTTTTGGTAACAATTAAAAATATGTAAGACTAATTGGTGCAAGCGTTTTATTTTGGGACTAGATGGGTTTTGAACTTTGTGTGTGGAACTTACTGGTAAGAGCCCCTTATTTTTTTGGCCAAGTTGGGGCAGATGTAGAAGCTCGATGTTAGGGTCGGGCTAGTCTTAGGCAGACACAAAATCCTATTATGTAGTGTCGACCTAGTCCAGCCCAACATATACCCACCCCTATCTCCAACCCATCCTTCAAATCTTTAAATTTGAAGGATTGGGCACTCCAACTCATCCTCTAGAACTCTCTCTATTTGAGAGAATGATGGATTCATCCTCCAAATATAGAAGAAGGATGAAAAATAGAGGATGTCCTCCAAAACATTATTCATTTTATATTTTTAATTATATTACAAATAACTTTAATATGTAAATTTAATTTTTATGAAACTAGTATCATTAAAAAGAATGAAATCATACCTTTAAAAATTATTTGAAAATTAAATAGTTATTTATGAACAAAAATTATTCACTTTTTGATGAAAATATTTTGCAGAAAGATCTTTAGAGAAAAACAAATGATGATTTGTTGTTAGAATTTGAGTGAATAGTAAGATGCTTTATATTCACTTTTTGAATAAAAAAAAAAGTTTCACCCTCTAATGGAAAGTTTTGGATTGGTAGAGGGCCCAACAACCAAAAGTGAGGAACATCCTCTCAAGTACAGCACCTACTCCAATTATACCCAAACTTAGCCACCAAATGAACAACATTCTTCCCAACCTTATTCTACCATAGCTCAAACCATCTCTAACATTGCATCAAATGTATCATCAAATTTAAATTTGATGAAAAACGGAAGAAATGTTAGCTTCAACATTGACATCAAACTAATATGAAATGGAGGGAGAACTAAATATTTCATCAAATGAATGGAGCATTTATCGTTCATCAAATTTGTAGGTGACCGTTGGGCCGGACATACTCCCAGATAACCTGGCATTTGATGAAAATTTTGAATTTAACATTGGAGTGCACCGTATCAAATCAAGCTTTTCATCAAATTTTTATTTAAATTTGATAAAAGAATTTAATGCAACATTGGAGATGCTCTCACCTGATATTTTGACACCAACATACCATGATGAAGCAAAGCATGGATAATAATACCCACACTCTGTTCCACTTCCTTAAATGAACAAACGTTAATGTTAATATGAGTGTTGATTTTTTACCTCAAAACCAAATTGAATCTTTTTGCCAAGATCCTAGGAACTTAACCGTAGAGCACATAAAAGAATAGAGAAGCGCAACAACACCTGCACATAGAAAGATAACAAACACCGGTGGCTCGTCCACCCGGGGACACTCCAACGATCAAGTCTGTCAACTTATCTCTCAAAGATAACAATTCAATCACAAAGCTCACAAAGTAAAACATACCTTAGACTAACGGGAGTGCCTTACTTTTATAGTCAGCAGTGCCATCGTCCCTAGAAGTCTCACTTCATGGGACTCTATCCTTCTTAAAGCTAACATCTATCTAGAACTCCTCTTATTTAGATTAAAATAAACCTGTCTAAGAGTCTCATCTCTACCCAAATAGAGAGCCTAAAACCATCTAGGACTTATGTCCTCTATCTGGATATTTCGAACTCAAATATGATAGCATCATTTCTCGGCAGCTTGATCCATCCACGTGGACAACCTTAAATATATGTCCCCACAATTAACATGTATGAAAAAAAAATTAAAACAT